GATAATTTTAAAAGTATTTTAATCGGAAACACAGCTGATAATATTTGGTTTTAATTCGGCTTTTATCGGGGTTTATTTTTTGTATTTTTGTATTTTGTATTTTTTTGTATTTTGTGTATATTATTTGTTTTTAATATGCTGTGAACCGCCCTGAGTCCTATGGGAGAAGGGCGGTATACAAATTAAAATAATAAATAAATAAATAAATAATAAATTTATAATGAAAAAAGGATCTGTCGGTGGAAACTGGACAAACATTTGTAGCTGTAATAATCAGGAAGAAGTGAGAGCAACATTTAATTTATGCTATTCATAACAAGGTCAGTAATAAAACATGGGTTTTACAAGAAATTCAAAGTTCAGAAATATTCCGCCACTCAGAGGAGGCTACACAGGGTAGACTAGTGGCCTTAACAAAAGCTTCCATCCATGTTCATAAAACAATTCAGAGAGGGGTAGTTAAGTAAAAGAATAACAATATCAATCAGAAACAAGAATAATACAATTTAAATACAAAAGCACAGCCTGCCTTAATTCTCATTTAAATAATTAACCTATGACAATCTGTGTAGTAAAAATCTGTTATATTCTTTTCAGGAACCAAAAATCTTTTCTTTTGTTTTTAGGAGCGTTGCCCATTCCTTCTGAAAGCCAGAACTGTGAGATCTCCTCAATCCCAGTCTGACATTAGAGAATCTTGACATGCTCCGGGCAAATATTTTTAACGATCTATATTGAAGTTGGGAAGACATTGGCCTAGCAGGAAAAGGACACATGGTTTTCCTCAGTTGGAGAAGATTGCTGCACTTTTGCGGTAGGACCAGCTTTGGAAAAGACGTGCAGCAGAAGCACAGAGGCTGTTTGGTTTGGAGGTGCTACCATAAAAGAACATCAGGAAGACATGTGGATCCTGAAATGAGAATGTTTCTAAAGCAGAATACGGAAATCATTGATAGCGGGAACCTGACCCCAGAAATAAGATTACATCTTCTGACTCCTAATTGCAGGTTTTGGCATGACAAAGCTGCTTTGTGGCCTTATGGGGAGCCCTACTGGGCAATGTACTGGCCAGGTGGCCAAGGATTATCCAGGTATAGAACACCAGAAGGCTGAGATTTACCTGCTGTGCAATCAGTTTAATAGGAAGCTGACTAAATGGTGCTATAATAGTATAATAAAGGATAGTAAAAATAGAATTCACCTGATTTCCCCTAACAGTATATTATAAAGCCTGAGGCATATTCATCCCAGATGATGATGAAAACTGACCCAAATTTGAGAGGTGAGAAACAGAGCCATAATGCAAAATATTCCCAAAATTTCAATCTGAGCCACACACAAGATGTGTCCTACCCAGTTTTTAGCATTCAACTTCCAAAATGTCAGGGGTGCCTCTTGACCACTGAAAATTTGCTTACTGTTAGGAAACCATGGCTCAGTAAAAAGTTCATAAGAACACATTAAAGCAAACATTAAAATGCAGACTCAGCCACGCTTACTGAGTTCATATATTTCACTGAGCCATAATGTGATTTATTTTTTGAGTCTTTAGAGTGGTATATATGACCTACTTCCCTTTTCTTAAGCTCTCATACCAGAGAGATGTGGATGTTACAAATGTCATGCATCACATACAAGCTTTTATATGAGTTCTACCACAACTCCTTTTAAAAGGGTTTATTTTTACAATGTCTCTATTTTTACACACCTATGTATTGTATACCTTGGGTTGTGCTTTTACTTATATTGACCACCAGGCGACAGTATATGACCTGTTTTGTCCTATTTAGGATTTATCAGCTGAACCCAGTTAATATTGCCCCGGTGACCATTATAGACAAAGCACCATAATAGTTTTGGTTGAGTATCTCAGAGGCTCATGAGTTTGGGGGAGAGGTTGGAGGTTTTCTAGTCCAACCCTCTGCCCAGGATAAGGGTATTGAGACCATTTCAGTGAAATTGCTATCCAATCTTAGCTTGAAAACCACCACCACCACCACCGAAGCATCCATCACTCCAGGAGGCACGCTTAATAGCTCACATCGTCAGGAAATTGTTGTTTTTCAGTTTGGATTTCAGCCATGAAATCCACTCCATTCTCAGGCATTATACAAAATAAATCCATACCCTGTGACATTTAAACAATGAAAGTTGACTATTATTTTTCCTATTTTTTAGATTTAACCTTTCTTTACATGATTCCATTTTCAAGCTCATCATCTTTGTTAGTCTTCACTCTTTCCAATTCCTCAGTGTCCTTCTTGTATTATAATGACCGGAACTACACCCAGTATTCTGGGCATTCTGGGATGACCACTGTAGTATTTCCTGTTATTTTAATGAGTTGTTGTGTTGATACAGCCCAAGATTTCATTGGCTGATTTAGCATCTACAGCACGTAAGCCTAGCTTTTGTGTCCCTCTTTGTGGTGTAGCACAATTCATGAAAGCAAACCTATTATTATATTAAGTAATAATTGAAATAAATATGGCTTAATATACTTAATATAATATATTAAGACACCCTTCCATGTATGAATTCCAGAGGTGGCCTTCATGGTCATTTAGTTAGGGTTAATCAAGCTCCTGAATTTTCAATCATATCCAATGGATATTTTTGTCACAGGATGAGAAGCTCTGTCTCTCTTGAAGTTCAGCTTGAAGTGTGGTTTGTAAAAATAAAAATTTGTAACAACCATAATTTCTTTTAGTCATTCTCATACAATTTTAACTTAGTTGATGATGAAGCACTTTCATATTAAAAGACAAAGTTGTTAGCATTTTGCTTAGAGATGTAAGCTTCATCTTCAGATCAAATTGAGTTAAGGCATTTTGAAGAGCTGATTAACAGACTTTGCAAGATTGATTTTTTTTACTATTCTTTATTTTCAAAATATACTCAGATATCTTCTTGATAATCCAAAAGTGGTCCAAAAGAAGAAAGTTCTGGATCTAGGAAGTGGTTGTGGAGCAACAGCTATTGCAGCTACACTAAGTGGAGCATCACAAGTTGTTGCAAATGATATTGATCCCGGTAAGCTATTTTCTACCAAATGTAGGACAAGCTAAGTTCATTAGGATAAACCTACAATGTCAAGCATGTTTTGAAATCTAAAGATCTGTATTAGATTTACACATGGTGATAACTCTGGAGTTTTAAACTATGGTTTGTTTAACAAGCTCACACATAATATAACCACAATGGGAAGTGGGTAAAAAGAAAAAAAGACAATGCTGAGTTATGATTTGTTGGCGCTAAGAACCAGTCACAAGCATGTCTTGAGCAGAAGCTGACGACGTCTTGTCATGTTTATTGCTTTTATATCCCTTGTTACATACACAAGCTTTCTTAATCATTCGATGCTTGACAATCGTTTATTCATTGGATAATTCTTTCATCTAACAAACTATTTCCTAGTTACATATTATATGGTCAAGGAACAAAGACAGGAAGATAGAAGAAGGAACTAAGCCTGTTATCTATTTCAGTACGGGAGGCATTAAGTCAAGGGGGTGTTCCATGACCTTTTGGCTGCTTCGCTGGGGCAAAGGGTATAGGAGCAAAGGGTATAGAATAATGAGATTTGTGGGGGTGCAAAGCACGGCAATGTGCTGCACACGCATATGCTACCCCTACAATGATTGTTTTCATATCTCAAACCAGACCATATGTTGGTTTAATTTCATGTCATAAATGCTTTTAAAATAAAAGAGCAGGTCATCTCCTTCAGCAAATGTCTATTTTTTGAGAATGACAAGCACTGACTCTCACATGGAAAGAATACTAGAAATGCTGGTGTATCTATACCTGGCAGGTTCTGGAAATGTTCTCTATTATATAAAGCAATGTTGCTCACCTTGGCAGCTTTGAGAGATGTGGACTTCAACTCCCAGCTGGCTGGCGAATTCTGAGAGTTGAAGTCCACACCTCTTAAAAGTTACCAAGGTTGAGAAACACTGATATAAAGAACAGCTTTCAAATTCCTTATTCTCCCATCTGGAGGTATTTGAGGCAAAAGAGGTTCCTGCATGGGAAGCCTGTCAGTTGGTCTTATTTTGAAATCTTACACTTAAAAACTTACCTAATAGAGACAATAAAGTGTATGTAGAAGAATACATCTGACTTAATGTGAATGAAATGGGAAGGCAAGCAGCAAGCATATTTTTTGCTAGGAAGCAAGAACATTATTACCCTGCATTAGATTTTCTCTAGGAAAGAGGTTATATCTAAATTTCAGATCACATTTGTCAGCTCTTTCTTGCATTCTTCCTACAGCAATTGAAAAAGAAAACATTACCCAACATTTTAATTAATTTTAATTTATTTATTTTCTTGGTATCTCAGTTGCAGCTGCTGCCATAGTGCTTAACTGTGAACTGAACAACATAGATCCCATCCCTGTTTTAACAGAGAACCTGATTGGTACTGATGTAGGCAAGTGGGACCTTATTGTCTTAGGGGACATGTTTTATAGTGAAGAACTTGCGGACAGCCTCTCCGAATGGTTGAAGAAATGCATCCAGGATGGTCACACTGAATTGCTGATCGGGGATCCTGGCAGACCCTATTTTGTGACCAATCAATTTCAGAGAATGTTGCACAAAGTTAGTGAATATGCTCTTCCTAAATCATCACCGGAAGAATACAACGGTTCAACCAAAACTTTTATCTGGAATTATCAGCCTTAAATTTCAGGGGTCTTGGAAATATGAAATCAGTTGATGTTACTTTGAATCTCTTGAACTCCAGTTCCCATACATTGATATTTTAGCCTCTATCACTATGTACATTCCAGTATGTTTGAACACTTTATTTGCGGCCATATTAGAGTGGGACAACAGTATGACATACAATCAAAACGTTTGCCTGATTGTGGTCGAGAATGCATTATTTAAAAATATCCTCAATACGGTTTACGAGAATAAAAATACATTTTATTTGTAGAGGGTGGCCTAGCAACAGTAATTTTATATCTAATGGAACTTCTAAACTCAGGCACTATACCTGACAGCTAGTTGCTGGTACTGGGTAGTCAGTGGATGACCCATCTAGGAAGGGGGAATCCTTGGGAAAGTTTGCTGTATGTTGATCTCTGGAACATTGTCTTCTTTTCATGCTGTTCTATAACATCCACATCCATGAGAATAAATGTTTTGATCTTTAATTGTTGGTTCTCATCTATCATGTCTGCTCAGCCACTCTAGCACACATTTAACTTTAACTTTTAACTTTAACTTTAATCACATTTATACCCCGCCCTTCTCCTAGTGGACTCAGGGCGGCTTACAGCCAGTTTAAAACAGAATAGCTAATACAATATACAAAATTTAAAATGTGGTTAAAATGAAATATTAATATAGGCCTTTTCTTTTTTTAAAAAGTTATTTAAAAACCAAATTTAAAATACCCCTTAGGCCAGTCCTGCCAGCTGAAATAGCCATGTCTTGAGGGCGCGGCGGAAGGAGGGGAGATCCGGAATCACCCGGATCTCTGGGGGTAGTTCGTTCCAGAGGGTGGGGGCTCCAACAGAGAAGGCTCTCCCCCTGGGGGTCGCCAACCGACACTGTCNGTTGACGGCACCCTGAGGAGACCCTCTCTGTGGGAGCGTATCGGCCGGTGAGAGGTAATCTGTGGCAGAAGGCGGTCTCGGAGGTAACCAGGTCCGATGCCATGGCGCGCTTTAAAGATGATAATCAACACCTTGAAGCGCACCCGGAAGGCCACAGGCAGCCAGTGCAGCTCGCGTAGCAGCGGCATTACATGGGAGCGACGAGTCACTCCCATCACCGCCCGCGCGGAATATCCTGATCCAAAATGGAATATCATGCTATCCATTCTGGCATGGCTTTGTTATTACTCATGTTTGCAAACAAATGGATCATTCTGGCTTGATGTCTTTATTAAGCTAATTATTATTGTACAGAATCAATTACTGAATATGTTCACAAAGGCTGCTTTCTGTTTCAACACAACTATTCTCGTAGGTTTGATCAAGCTTTGTATTTTCTATATTTTGACTTACTGTACTCCATGTACTGTCCTGAAGAGTGCTGGGTGAGAATTCTTTTAAGTTGTGCTAAATTAATTGATTAGGATGAATGATAAAAGGAAAAAGTAAAAGATTACTACATCAATTTACAGAATGTCAAAATCCATAATGGTCAATATTTTTCTTATTACTAAAAACAATGATAATATCCTAGTGGGATAATTTCCAAAAAGAATTCATGTCAGTTTTCTGTAGCAAAAGTAATCAAGAGCTTTGTGTCAGTTTACAGACTAACATGTTTATTTTGGCAAAAGCTTTCAAAAATAAAACTTCAATGAATGTTACTGTAAGTTGTCTTTAATAGTTGGTTGAGAAGAAGAAAGGGGTTACAAATCAAATAAATAAAAACACCTTAATTGGAATATGGCAGTGACGGCGAACCTTTTAGAGACCGAGTGCCCAAAAAACAGCCCCGCCTGCCCCCGCTCCACTCCCGCTCTGCCCAGTCCCACCTGCTCCGCCCTCACCCCGGACCCGCCCACCCACAGGGCCAGCCACTGCCTCCACAGATTGCCCAGGCAGCCCAACAGCGCCATGGTGGCCATGCCCTCTGCCTGCGCCCGTAGCAGCATCTGCGCGCGACGGGACACGAGGGCGGAGTCTTGTCCTCGCTGCCCAGCTGCCATGTCCTTGGCTGCGCTGCTCCGCGCGGGCTGTGCTCAGGGGTGACTCTCCGGGGAGGTTGCTGGTGAGGGGGCCACGGGGAGGTGGGACTGGGGCAACGGCACGAGTGCCCACAGAGAGGGCTCTGAGTGCCGCCTCTGGCACTCGTGCCATAGGCTCGCCACCACTGGAATATGCCATCCCATTCTGCAGGTATCAGCAAAGCCCCACATTCGCTTCTTCCCTTAAAAATTAAAATATTGAGTTTTGGCCTTCTATGACTGGTTATTAATAGACTGGTTATTCTATGACTGGTTATTAATAGAATTAAATGAAATTCATGCACTGTCAAACTTGAAGAAGGTTTTATTCAGATACAAACAAACTATGGCTCCTGTTACAATGGATGCCTAGAAATAGAACTGGTCCTCACCTAAATGACAGCAGAGCAGACAGCACAAGATGCTTCCATGAAATTTGCTTCATTAGCTTACTGGTGTTCTTTCTGCTTTTTGCATTCCCACATTTACTATTGGTCTTTTATTAGTAAAAATGTTTTTTTTTTTGAGAAGTAGTGCCCCAAAGCTTCACAAAAATGCAGAATACTGATACGACCTAGCTTGGAGAAAAACAAACATGAATAGCATGTTTGCTCTTCTCCAACTGAAACTACAGTTATCAACAGCAAATGTTGTTACTAATCAGAACTTCTGAGAAGACTCTCAGAAATGATCCCTTGGGGGGGAAAAAATAAAAGAAGTAGTGCCTTGTGATTTCAAACAAAAATCAATAAACAGTCCACGAAACCTGCTTGAATTTTTTGGGCCCAACCAGCTGCTCCAGTGCTTCTCGGGAACGATCTGCAAATAAAGTATGTTATGTTTAGTTTTTATTTTTAAGGTTAGAGAAATATTTATGACAGGAACAAGACTAAACAAGTAGTGGGAAGGAATGGGCTTGTTATTTTTCAACAAGACCATTGTATAAATAACCAAAAATCCACTTCAATATGTTAATCTATTATATTTTGTTGGCTTTTAAGACTGTTCATCCTCCTAATATTTTATAAGCATGTTATGGCTCTCTTAATGGCAGGAGTTTCCCAGAGCAAGAATTCAGAGAATGAAAATATGCTTTAACTTTCAACAAACAATTCCAGAAAGTGTGAGAAAAGAAAGGCCAAAGTTCTTCAACAGGAAAGCATAATAGAGAATGCACAAACTTTGAAACAAGAGTGGACTATAAATTCTTTGCCATCTTTTCCTAGATTCGAGCCATCAACTCTTTAAAATGGTTAATAATAATAATAATAATAATAATAATAATAATAATGATGATGTAGTAATAGTAATAGTAATAGTAATAGTAATAATAATAATAATAATAATAATAATAATAATAATAATAATAATAATAATAATAATAATAATAATAATAATAATAATAATGTTGGAAGGAACCTTGGAGGTCATCTAGCCCCATACTTAGGCAGGAAACCCTATACCACGGGTGTCAAACTCACCACATCACGTGACTTGTCGCGATGTATCGTGACTCTTTTTGCATTGCCGGCAATGGGGTGGGCGCGGCTTCAGTATGATGAAACCAGCCCGTGGGCTGGCAGTTTGACACCCCTGCCCTATACCGTTTCAGACAAATGGCTGTCCAGTCTCTTCTTAAAAACTTCCAGTGTTGGAGCATTCACAACTTCTGGAGGCAAAAATTTTCATATCTGAACTAAAGTCAAGACGTAATTCCTAATTGTGTTGTTCAAACCTTTGGAAATTACAACTTAGAACAATGTTTTTCAACTTTGGCCAATTGAAGATGGATGACTTCAACTCCCAGAAATCTAGGAGTGCTGGATAGGGAATTCTGGGAGTTGAAATCCATCCATTTTCAAGTGGCCAAGGTTGAAAATCACTAACCTAGATCATTCCTGACATGGAGAATCTCACAAAGCAGTTTTTTAAGACATATTTTTCTTTCAAGAAAGAATGTTCGTATTAAATTCTTAATTTTTCTAGTAGGCCCTTTCACTGTATAAATGCTAATAATTATATTACATCCTCATCCATGGAAGTCGAAGAAGCAACTATTGGAAAAGGAGACCAACCTTTTTTTCTTACTGAGAAAATGTGAATTTGAATGTTAAAACTGCAATAACAGCCAGTAGTAAGATAAGTAAAGATAATTATCAGATAATAAAATAATAAGAGAATCAGTGTGATATAGTATTTAATGGAATGTCTCAGATTCTTATGGCAGCTAACCATGGCAGCTCTGTGTGGGATTTGGATCAGTTGCTCTCTCTCTCACACTCACAGGGTTGTTGTGGGGAAAATTAGGAGGAAGGAATGATACTTACATTGCTTTGAGCCATTGTATAAAATGTGGGTTCTAAAACTAATAAGTAAAATAAATAAATCTAATAAATAACTATATCTCCTACCAATGAATTTGCACCAATATCTCTGGAAAAACCCCTTCATGGTGATATTTAAACATACGACCAAATTATAATTAGCTAGTATATGCAAAGGACATAGTCTTGGCTTGTGTGACTTCCATTTTCCCTTAGTCTTCTTAGTGTAGATAGCTATTTCTCAGTGCTCAGAAAATCTGACTTTGTTAAATCTTTAAATATGAGTCTGTTAATATCTTTAAATATTTAAAGAGATTAACTAGGGCAGGGATAGGCAACCTTGGCTCTTTTATGACTCGTGGACTTCAACTCCCAGAATTCCTGAGCCAGCCATGCTAAGGGGAAAGGGAGAGGTTTCCAAGCTGAGCCATGCTGGCTCAGGAATTCTGGGAGTTGAAGTCCATGAGTCATAAAAGAGCCGAGGTTGCCTACCCCTGAACTAGGGCTTTTCTATTCTTGGAAAGCAGTTTTACAATCATAGGAGGACTCCTGTTTTAACCTCACTCTGGCTTTTAGATAGTATAGCAGTAGTTCTAAAATACAAAGGATAGTTGGCATTTAATTCTTCACCCTGCTTTACTGACTTCCATTTGTAAACTTATTGATTAAATAAGTTAGAAATGCTTTCTTTCAAAGCCAAGTTATGTCACACACATGATGATGTTCTGCAGCTAATGATATCATAACACACGCAATGTCATTTTGACGCCACTTGATGTGGTTTTCAGTGAACATCTATGACAATCTACTCTAGTCAAGATTTCAAGTCACCTGTTACGAGTGGGCATCCATGAAACAGAAGAATATATATCATAGGACAGTAAGTGAGGACAGCTTCCACAGCTGTATCTGTCAAATTAACACATCGTTCCATATGGATCTCCTATTAAGGACAAAGAATAATGCCATCAGTAGCTATCACTGAATAAATAAATAAAATAAATCTCTGTTTTGTGAAATATGATTGGAACAATAAGAATGGTATTAGAAGAGAGATTATGGAAGAGACTATTTCAAATAATTGCATGAAGTCATTGGTGTTCCTAATCTCTCACAGGATGAAAGCAGGGGTGTCAAACTCGCAACGTCATGTGACATGTCGTGCCGTATCACGACTTTTTTTGGCATTGCCGGCAATGGGGTGGGCGCAGTTTTGCTATGATGCATCTGGCCCGCGGACCGGCAGTTTGACACCCCTGCTCTAAAGTAATTTGAATCTCATATGCTAGAGTACATTGAAATTTACCAAGGAGTTTCTTCTTGATAATATCTCTGTTACTTCCAAAACAAAAATAAAAACAAAGGTGACAAAGGACAACTTTTTCTCATTTGCTTCTGTATTTCAGTAATATAGTAAGTATACTGTGACATGAAGAAAGCATCATATGAGTTAGAGAAAAATCTCACCTCTGCCTTAATTTTAGGTTCAGAAAGTAGTGATAAAATATATTTTTGAGCTGGCTGAATTTTGGAAGCATAGGGAAATTGATTTTACAAACAGTTTTGACTGCTTTAGTAAAGATTTGTTTTTATCTATGTTTTAGTCTCTTGCAGTAGTGTATTTGTATTTCAAAAGAGATCTGGTATACTGTAGCTCATGCAACTGTATGAACCTATTAGGCTCCCCCTGCCCCAGCTGAGTACTATTCTCTTTTGAACACTTTATCCTACAAGTCACAATATTTAATTCAGGAAAGGTGGAGAAAGTGAGCTAACATAGAATGAAGAACAAGATACAGAAACTGAAGGGGCTGAATATATTACAGTCTTCATGTGTTTTAAGCTTATTTCAGCCAAAACCTTTGGTTCAGCATTTATAAATCTATTCTTGTTTATGTATACCTTGGCACAGAGGAAATCATGTGTGAAATAATATGCAAGAACAGACAAAAACCAGAAAACAACTTTAAGATATATTTACTGCCCAATAGTACTAGTGAAAAACAACATACTATGTTTATATAGCAATAGCAATAGCACTTAACTCATATGATCTACATTACGTTTGGCACACTGCTCTGTGGAGTTCACCCAACAGCTGTCAATTAAAAAAGTATCCTTGAGTGTTAATAAAAGTTTTGAGCGTTGATGTAGTAATTCTCCCCTCCCACATATGTAACTTTCTAATAGCAACTTTAATTAAACATATCCAAATGTTACCTTTAAATTGTTTGAACACATTCCACGAACAAGTGCCATCACCCCATCATCAGTGACCTAAATGGAAAAAAGGATCTTTTATCAAGTGGAAGCCAAAATATTATTTCTTCTCTTCCAATAATGGAAATCCATATATAATCTATTGGTTTTTTTTTATTTATATGTGTTTTCAAAATAACTTGTATTAAAAACAGAAGAAAAGTACAATAAATAACAAGGCCAGATAAAAGGTTCCTTAATTAACAAGGAAAGTCAAATTTCTTATAATCAAGACCAATAAGTAAAAGCTCTGGAAAAAACCCTGAAATTTAATAGAAATAAGTCTGAAGCTTAGAGAACAAAGATCAGATGCATAAGTATGAGATGAGGATACCTGACCTAATAATACTTGTATAAGCACATCTTGGAATTGTGGTTGATAGCAAACAGAAAATGAACAGCAGGGTGAATGTGACTGTAAAGCAGATGCGTACAATTTTAGGCTGAATCAGAATTGTATTTTTCAAATCATGTGAAATAATTATTGCACATTACTTTGTTTTGGTCAGATCACAAATGAGGTACTTTGTCCAGTTTTGAGCACCACACTTTAAATAGGATTCAAAAGTTCAGCAACAGACAATAAAGATGAATACAGGATTGGAAACTAAGCCATATGAAAAGAGATTGAAAGAGGTATAAATGTGGTAGAAAAGCCTCAAATATCAATAAACATTTACTTAGGGTATCAGCTTTAGGACAAGGCATAAGTGTTTCAGCTTGCTAAACTGTAATCCCCAGGGTATTATGGGGACAAGGCATAAGGGATAAACAGGAAACCTTTGCATATATTATAGCTAAAAATATACTACTGAAAAGAGAAGTATATTGTTAAATGGGAAGTACATCAGTGGAAACTATGCTATGGTACTGCTGAAATGACAGTTACGATAATTTTGTGGTTAACCTTTCTACAAGCTTGAAAGGTGACTGCTTTATTACAGTTAGGTAAAGACTTACTGTAAAAGGATAGAACAATTTGTGACCTTGTAGTATTAAGTATGCTGTAGCTTGTGAAAAATACTGCAACCCCCCCCTACCAGTGGATATTGGGGTGGATTACATAGGCTTTGAGAGAGATTTTCTTGTGTCCTTTCTTCTGCAGAATAAAGCTTATTTTACAAATCCCATCTCAGTACATTCAATAGACCTAACAATTTTGGCAACCCAGATGGGACTGGCCAGGAGGCCTCCACCCAGTTCTGCCAGACTGGCTACTTTGCAGCTATGTGATTTAAGAGATCAGCATTCACTGATATATGCAACGGAGTCATGTTGGATGTTATGTTCCCTTTTATTCAAGTATTGACACCCATAACCTTACCTGGATAGAATGTCAAACTTCAATGAACATTTTGTTAACGCTAGAGGAGAAGTTTTAAAGAAGGCAAGAGACGAGGCAACAAGATGGCAACTGGCCAAAAGTGAGCCAAGTTCCATATGAAATGATGCCATATCAAGAGCCTTCCTGGAATCATAACAAAGATACTGACCTTCATAGATTGAAGACCCTATAAAGGCTGTTTATTGGAAAATCTTAGAAATGGGGTTCTAAAGCAAAAAAACCTGTCGAAGATTTATGAATTACGTCAAATGCAAATAAAAATCAGGGCCATTTCTTGAGCAGTTGTATAAAGCTTTTAGACAATATATTGACTTAGACCTTGAATCTGCTGAAAATATGAGAATGGTTAATTTGATTTTTATGGGTCAGAGTGTTCCAGATATAAGAAAAAACCTGTAGAAAGTTGAAGATAGTGTAGAGATGAAAATTTCCCAATTAGTAGAAATAGATTAAGGATATATACTAATTGGGACCAGGTGAAAGACAAGAACAAAGGTAGGAACATGAAAATTCAAGGGTCTCTATTGGTGGCTACCTTAAGAAATAATGAGAAGAGATCCTAAGGAAATACAAATAGGAGAAACTGCAATCAGCTGTGAAGAAAAGAGGTTTGCAAAGAGACCAATGTGCCCTCTGTAGACAAAAACGTCAATGGTCACAGGAGTGTCACTGAAAGAGAAGAGAGGGAAAACAAGAGAAGAGATCACGAGATAGGATGGTGATAGCCCAACTGGAAGATTCAGACTGAGGAGAACTGGGATCCAGAAAAGAGTTTATAGTCTCCTCCTCCAATGAGTACCTGGTTAAACTAGAAGTATGAGAAGAATTGTTTTCTTTTTTAATTGATACTGTAGCCACTTATTCAGTTATGGCTATTTTACAAGGAAAAATATGTTAACAAGAAGGTATTCACCGTAGGAGTCACACGTAATAGGTCACTTTTACAACCAATGGACTGTATAATGGAGGGGAGAAAATTGGATCACCAGTTCTTATACATGCCTGATTGTTACTTTTGTTGGGAAGAGACATTGAAAGCAGAACTGATGTTTTGTGAGGACAAAGTCACTTGATGGTACCAAAAGAAGAGGGATGGCGAATGCAAGGGTGTATGTTACATTTAACCACTCTGAATAGCGAGATACCCTTAGAAGTTGAAGATGTGGTAATGTCATGAGTCTGAGGGACATGGACAAGCAAATCATGTGACACCAGTCTGGGTGGAATTATTGGAAGGAGTCATCCCACCCAGGGTGAATTAATACCTGTTAAAATGGACTTAAGCCTTTGATGAAGAAATCTTACTTATGAACTGATCTGATTTTAATACCCCAATTTTGCCAATAAAGAAACCAAGGTCCAATTAATATAGATTTGTTCAGGAACTGAGGGCAGTAAATCAAGTTACGATGACAATGCATTCGACAGGGCCTAACCCAGTGGTTCTCAACCTGTGGGTCGGGACCCCATTTGGGGTTGATCGACCATTTCATGGGGGTCGCCAAGCAAGGCTGTCCGCCATTATTTTTGTCCGCCATTTTTTTCCCCTTTTCCGGCGGGTGCCTTACCTCCCTTGGGCTGGGCCAGCTGGTGGTCGGCCTGCTCCGTCTCTGCCGCTTGCCAGCTCAGCCGTATGCAGTGTGCAATGGGAACTACTAAACTTTTGGGGCCAAGTGAAATATCATGTATCTAAGGGAAAGGCCCAAGTGGCTAAAAAGACTCTTACTTGGGATTTGCCATTTTGAAGGATCAACAACAATTGTTGCAGAAAGGAAAGAAACCATCTACAGACTAACTGAACCTAAGAACTGGAAATAATTACGGGGATTCTTGAGGAATGGCTGATTTTTATAAGATCTGGATTGCTAGTTTTGGAGTTGTTACAAAACTTTTAGTATGAGGCAACCCAAGGAAAAGATCTAGACCCATTTGAAAGTACATCTGAGTGTACAGCAACATCTCAACAAATTAAACAAAAACCACTGCCCTAGGCTTACCAGATTTATCCAAACCATTTCAGTTCTACATGCATGAGCAAAGTGAAGTGGCTATTGGTGTTGTGATACAAAATTTGGGGCCATTCTAGAGAACAAAGGAAGCCAATGGCTAACTCCAAGCCAATAGTGTTCAATTCGGATGAAGGGAAGACTGGCAATAGACCAAGTACTGAGCTGGGACAGCAGGTGAATAACTTAAATTTGAGAAAAGATGATAGGAGGAGGAGTGGTAATGACAGCTCTCCTAAATACCTGAAAGGATGTCACATAGAAGCAGGTCAAGCCCTGTTCTCTCTCATTCCAGAGTGCAGTGCATAAAATAATGAAGTTATAACAAAGTATGTTTTGACTGAACATAAAAAACCTACTAGTAAAAGAAATTCAACAGTAGAACCAATTATCTAGAAAAGTACTAGGTTCCTCTTCACTGGATCTGTTTAAACAAGTTAGACAACATTTTTCTGGGTTTACTACCATTTAATTTGGATTACCACACTGAGCAGGACAGGGAAAGGGGAATTTGATGGCTTAAATGTTTTATTTTCAGCCTTTCATTCAATATTTTAACATCTCACGTTGATCTTGTAACGGAAGGACTCAATTAAAGCATTCAGTGGCTCATTAGAAGAGAGCCAGATTTCATCCCAAACAGTTAACATAAATTTTACTCTGGTTGAAAAAAGGGCACATTAAATACATGGGAACAATCATATTAGCTGCATGTAATTGAATAATTAATTTTAATTAGCTTAAGATATGAATTCAGAAATCAAATTTGAGTTTTGTTCTGCATCCTGTTTACTGTCTTGAGTGTGAATACTTACATGCAACACAAAAGTCATGCCTAGACCAATCTAACTACAAAGGCTTGCAGGTCCAATGAGCAGATCTGCTGTAACTTCAAAAGGACAATCTGCTTTGAACACCCAGAGATTTTTTTTAATGTGACACTTTAAACAGCAGTCATATTAGACAGGGAGCCTCATAGATTATTGTATGAAAAACTGCCCACTTTAATAAGAAACCAAAGTGTCTGGAAACAATTGAAACAGGGTATATTTTACTGGCATGAAAAACAATAATGATAACTAAGGAACAATGCAGAGCATTGAACAAAGCAACATTACACATTGTATATTTTTGTTACATAGAAATAATAAAAATAAAAACAAACCATACTATGACATGCATTCTTCTAAACAAATGGAGATCTCTTCCTGCCTTAGACACTAGCACTGTCTACCATAAACAGTGAAATTTATTGTGCCTATATACTGCCTCCTTTCACACCACACAAAGACAACTATCTAGTTTTTATTATCTGTCTCTTTTCCAGGGTCACATTACTAGCTGCCTTTTTACTTTAATTATTTTACTCATGTTTAAACTACACTCAGCATCATGCCTTTCATTAAACTTCTATATAAATAAACTGAAATGTCAATGGAGCACCCCTTTTTTTCTTGGGCATCATACTGAGAACCCAGAATCTAATGCCTACTAAAGCCAAACAAAGAACAGTCTAGACTCTAGTATCTCCAATTATTAAGACAGCCATTTGATCCCTCTTAATTTCAGAATCCCATTTCTGATACCAAAGAATCTTATGAAATTATTTATGAATTATCTTCTTTGTTTCCGATGTTTTTCAAGATGATGATGTGATAATGCTTTTCAATCTTACTTGGGTTGATGAAAAATCAACGCTGTGCAGGGATCTACAGTTCTGCCCAAGGGCTTGTAAAGATGTGTCTGTGATGTTGAAGCATCCACCTATGTTGACTATTTGTAAAAGGGGGCAGTTGAGGGCAAGAGCACGGATTCCACTGTCTGTTAGGTTGCTGCATCTCTTAAAGGAGGCTTCCTGCAGATAGGGGCACGATAAGGCCAATGCTGCAACTCCTGTTGGAGATGGAAGGCAGGTTTTTCTCCTGTAGATAAAATTCTATTACCATATATTTAAATATAAGAGTTTGATTTCATTGAGTTTTAGTTTGCATAATGTACCTTGTTTTCTCCAAAATAAGACCTATCCCGAAGATAAGCCTAGCTTGATTTTTACACGTGTGCTCAATATAAGCCCTACCCCAAAAATAAAAATCAAGCTAGGGCAGGGGTGTAAGAGCTGCCCCATGGGCCCTGTACCCATTTACCTTAGGACCGCTGCAGTCAGTTCTCCCACACCCTAACACCTGTCGCACCACTGCTCGAGTTCTTCTGCAGCTGCTTGCGGCCATATGCCATGTAGCCCGCTGCGTTGCTGCTGCCGCTCGCAGCAAGAAGCCATGAGGCTCATCACACCACTTGCGCCGCTGCTTGTGGCAGGGTGAATGGCGCATTGCACTGTTTATGCTGGTGCTGCTTGTAGCAATGATGCAATCGGCACGATGAGCCTTGCAGCCTCCTGTTGTGAGCAGCGCGATAAGTCTTGCAGCCTCCTGCCGTAAGCGGCAGGAGCAGTGCGATTAGCATGAGCCACGTGGCCTCCTGCTGCAAGTGCCGGCAGTGGCACAATGTGCCACATGGTGTGCGGCTGCAAGTGGCCACAAAAAAACTCGGGCGGTGGCGCAACAAGTGTTGGGGCGTGGGAGGCCTGGCTGCGGTGGTCCTAAGGTAAGCGTGTAAGACATCTCCCCAAAATAAGACCTGTTGCCTCTTTTGCAGGCAAAAAAAATATAAGACTGGATCTTATTTTCATGGAAATACGATACATAAAAGATTTTGTTTTGTTGATTTTTAAAGAAAATCAATTATCTCCTTTTCTGAACTTTATGATAACCCAATAATTGAGAAGTCTTAGGAGAGTAATTTTCTCAACCAAGATTGGACCATCTGTTCATTATCAGCATACCACTTTCCAATACTTTTAAAAAATTCTGTCATCATAGGTTAATAGTTCCACAATGATTCATATGTACATACTAGGGGTCGGCAACCTTAAACACTCAAAGAGCCACTTGGACCCGTTTCCCAGAGAAAACATTGGGAGCTGCAAAAGTTGCGCGTGCGCGCACACGCGCACACACACAAGGGGGGGAGTTTGATTGAAGAGTTTAATTAAAAAGAAATAGAGGCTGCTGTGCATGAGTTCTCTCTCCCCCCCCTTTCTTTGTCTTCCTCCCTCTCCCTCTCTCTCTCCCCCCTCTCTCTGATCTTCTGCTCACCTGGCAAGCTGGCTTCACGCTGTTCTCCAACAAACTGACACACATTCTTATTGGGCTGGCTCTCTCCTGCCCTTGGTCTGCTAGTCCTCTTCCCCCACTCTGTGTGTGTGTGTGTGTGTGTATGAGAGAGAGAGAGAGAGAGAGAGAGATGCTGCTTCCTGCTGCTTCCTGCTGAGATGCAGCAAAGGCAGGAGCCCCGCCCAATAAGCTTGTCCGAGAACAGCGTGAGGCCACTCTTTTACACACTTACACACACACACACACAGAGACAGAGAGAAGGGAAGCGCAAGTGCCTCTCTCTGTTTCTCTCTCTCTCTCTCTCTCTCTCTCTCTGCAAATGGCAGAGGAGGCTGGGAGCTGCAGGAGAAGTCTCAAAGAGCCACATGCGGCTCCGGAGCCGCGGGTTGCCTACCCGTGGTATATATATTTTCTTTATTTGTTTTTCAAATTTCTCATTCATTTCTCAAGTGCTACATCTGAACTGAAAATCAAATAACTGGAAAAGACTTTGAAAGAGATCCTAGAGTATTCCCAGCCTATTGTTATTCAAACCATGCTCCCTGGAACTCCAGAGTTCCAACCATATCATCCAGGGGTTCAAGGTCAGTTTCTATTTACATTGTATAAAATATATTATTGCAACATTAATTGTAACATGTTTTTCAATTTATTTATTTACAGGACTTACATGGCTGCCTTTCATACAAAGTCTCTAGGCAGCTCACACAGTAATAAAATGAATTACGTGTAACATACTTAATGGGTTCCACAATGACTTTTTACATTGAAAAAGATTATTCAGTTATTTCAACTTTGAAGTGCACTGGTATTCCCCAAATGAGATCTGGCCAGATGATCTGGACCAGTATTACCATCAGAATCAGTCAACGTGGCCAATGGACAGAGAACTAGATGGGGATATGCCAAAATTTAAATTTCATTGTGTTTACATTCAAAGTAAAATAAAATTAAATATATTAAATACAATTAAATGTAGGTCAGTATGAATACACTATACCTGCAAGAACATGACCTAGCACTCATAAATGGGATCTCCTAACTTCCACTAAAAAGTTTCTGTTCCTATCTTTGCTAAAGTATATAAATTAAAACAGAACATAACAAACAACCCAAACAGCTATCACTTGTATCTCCCAGGGCTCTTCTAAATAACCATTGTGCAGAAAGTATACCTTCAGAAGTTATGGTCAGCCTGTTGTTTTTCCAAACATTTACATTTATCTTTTTAAGATGCCTGCAGTTACAAAGCTGTTGCAAGGCATGGTCTGAAATTTCACAGTCTCGAAGATCCAGTGCCTCTACTGCAGGGTGAAGAACCTAAAAATGGCAAGTAATTCAATCAGATTTTACTTTTTAAAAATGTAAATAAAGCAAAACAAAACATGCCTCTCAAAGCCTGTTATCTATGGATATTCTATTCCTTAAAACCTAGACTGGCTGATGAGCTGTATTTGGACTTTTGGAACATGACTTAACTATATTTCAGCCTCCCGCTCTGGCTTTTGGAACTCATTGCAGGCAAGCTCTCTAGGAATTAGGACTTCATTGCTCTATGCATTTGTTTGCAGAAATGCCATGTCATTACTTGCATTTAATAAATACTAGCTAGTCATTCGGCTTACTTTTTCAAAAATGTAACTATCTTTATATACTGTTCTAAGCTATGTTTTAACAAGAGATAATACCTAATTTACTAGATTCATATAATATGCTAAATTATAAATTATTTACAAAACATGTATGGTAGCTAGATTCACATAGCATGTTAAACTAAAAACATACAAACACATATTTCAAAGCCTTCCGAACTGCAACCCTCATCATCCCCAGGATAGAAGAAGTATTAGTCTTCATACTTGTTTCATTGGCAGAACAAAAAAAGTTTTTTCCTCAAGTATTGCAGTGGAAGACACAATCTTCAAAGAAGAGTCTGAAAGGGTCTTCATGCTGAGACAACAAAACTCAGCATATATATAGTTTCTAAACTTCATTTGTCATTGGCTACACACATAATTGCATATAGTTCAGAATACTATTGTTGAACAATTAGATGTCAACCTATTTTGGCATAAAAGAAGATTCTTCTGGTAAAGAGACATAGTGCATTGCTTACAGTTTAAACATTCTGGATTATGTAACATCCTATGAGCCACCTAAATATTTCTTTTGAGCTTTTTCTCATCATCCAGACTACATTTTATTGTTCTTTAATATGCCTTTTCTAATATGTTCATCACCCAGCAAGGATCATGCTCTATAACAGTGTTTCTCAACCTTGACAATTTTAAGGCATGTGGACTTCAACTCCCAGAATTCCACAGCCAGCATTGCTGGCTGTGGAGTTCTGGGAGTTGAAGTCCACATGCCTTAAAATTGTCAAGGTTGAGAAACACTGCTCTATAAGAACTCCATTTATATCAAACAATAACATCTACTTATTCACCTGGAAGTATGCCCAAGGGTGAGATAAATAGCAATTCAAACCCTTCAAGAATGCCACAATTTATCTCTCTCATGTTTAGCATCTATTGCATATCAGCTAATACTGAAAAAGTAGCAAAGACCGTGATCTAAATGGGAATTTACCATGCTAATATTTGTATCTGTTATCCATCCTTGGATACTCAATGATTTAATCAGCTTATCTTTTATGTTGGGAGGCAAAGACTTAATATCTGCAGTATATTTGGATATGTTTCTTGTTAAACAATGAAGGCATCTGAAGAGGAAAAAGAAAAACAACTATATGTTGACAATATTTTGTAGTGGCTGCAATATCAGGTATAAAATCATATTGTCTTCAGCAATACTTACTCAGCAATACACTTGGCTTCTTTTTATAAATATAAAGCCAAGTAAAAAAACAAGCATTTTTTAAAAAAAATAAGTATTATAGTATTTCACTATAGACATGCACAATGTATAGTAGTCATAAACAGGAACAAATGAAACAAAATAATTTTAAACTTCTAGTCACAAACATGCTTCTCCTGGCTACTGATAGGATTATAGTGAGATAAATTATATAATTACTAAATTTCAAACTCTGCTCCAAAGAATTTTGAAGATACTCACAAATCTGCTAGAGATTTCTCAGTGACTGGTGAGTTTGGTTTTATTTTTGCAATAAACCATAAAGTAACACGTGTGAACCAAATCAACAGCAATTTAGTCAAAATCCTTGGTTAGGCCAAGTATGGCTTATGAAGTGTGACCTAAATCAAAGCTATCAGTTTCATCCTCTTGTAGGTAACCATACTGGAGTATATTTATTTCTCATTGGTTTAGTGATAACTCTCCATGAACCAGACTAGTGGTTATTTGTGAAATAAGTAACCACTGAAATATGAGATTAGTTACTTGTGCAAGATAAGCCTATGCTAACTTGATTTTCAGATTATTCTCGAGACTCTTATGTATCAAATTCTTAATGATTACTCTAGACCAGGGGTGTCAAGCTGCCGGCCCATAGGCCGGATGCGTCATGGCAATGCCGGCAATGGCAAAAAAGTCACGATACGTCACAATACGCCATGTGACGTTGCAAGACTTTTTCAGGTTTTCACGTTGGTCCAGCTAATCTGTGGTTTCCCAGATCTTCCTTACCCATTTTAAAAATGAAAAACCCTTGCCATCCTCCTCCGATCATTCTTTTTAGGATTTTGCAAAGATAATTTAAAAAGTTTGGCAAAACCCTTTCAGTATCTCAGTTTTCCTGGAGGGAAAAGGAAAAAAAATCTGTGAGATAGAGGGCACAGATGTAATTCACAACCATGTATCAATGTGATACTACCTGGCCATATCTTGCAGATTTTGACACACACACCCCGCCCCCAAATCCTAGGATGCAGTTAATCTAATCCTGGAGATTTAAATTCATCCACCACCTTTCATCCTGCTTCTCAGAAATACCTGTTGGAATACAAACGTTTGCTAGCGCCACAGCCAAAAGAGGAATTGAATGTTTCTACCTTTGCTTTGGCATCAGATTTTGCCACTTTTATTAAGAGCTGGGATCCTGATGCCTTATTCTGAAGGCGAATGCTCTCTTTTTGGTCGTTCGTATTATTGTTTCACCTCAGGTCAGTCTCGGGTTCAGCTTTCTCGGCTTCCTTGGTGACCCGACTTCCTTCCCACCTCCTTCACTTTCCCTCACAGAAAAGGCACATCGGGGAGAAACTGCCAGCTCCCCTCTAAAGTATTAGCTTTTTTTTTTTAGCCGAGCAACGAAGAAATAAAATACAGAACCACCAGGGGAGAGACGGAGGGAGGCTGGATGAAAGAAGGGTAGTTCGGGCCTCGAGAGAGACAGCTCCTCGGTGAGGGAAGACCCTGGGAGGATCGGCCACTTACAGCTCCAGGAGCGACTGAACCGTCCCTCCGCCTCCGTAGCGACAACTCATCGCCGAGCCTGGGTCGCTCGCCTCCTTTTCCTCACAGGCCGGGCTGGCGCCGCCGGGTCACAAACCGTCGCTCATTTCCTCAGCGTGAGCGCGCTCAGCCCACCCCCCTCCCCCCCCAGCCCTTCCATGGCTGCGGAGCTCGCCCGCCGGGCTGCGCGAAGGAGCGCCGGTATTCTCAGAGCGTCCCTGGGCGAGAGCAGAGCACTTCGGGAAATGTAGTGCCGCGAGAGCACTTTGGGAAATGTAGTGCCGCGAGATTCTCTCAGGGAGTCTTAGGGTTTCGGCTCGATCGAACAAGGAGGGCGCTGTCTCGGAGAGCCCGCGCGGGTGACGCTTGCTGCTTTCGGTTTCCGTTCACTCCGGCAGCCCAAGTGCGTCGGATTAAGTCGCAACTCGTTGTATAAGTATGATGCGTTTATAAAATGAGTGTGCGTTGCAGCTCGCGCGCGCGTTTATGTATTATGCGGTTGATTAAATGAGTTAAGAGTTACAGATCATACGTGTGTTTAGTTATATGTTATGCGTTGATTAGTAAGTTGCAAATCGTGTGTGTTTATGTATTATGCATATATTAAATGAGTAAGAATTGCAGTTCGTGCGTGTGTTTGTGTATTCGTGGTATCCTTCTGGACCGGCTCCTGGAGTTGGGCTGTGTTGCTTCTCCTGCCTCCGGTCCCGTTCCAGTCAGTATTAATAAGGGGAGGGATCCAATCCTCAGATCCCTACTTTATCAGGTGTCTTTCTCCTCTCCTCTTCAACATACATAAATGGGGCTCTGGGTGAGGTCATCCAACAGTTTGGGATGAGATGTCACCAGTCTGATGATGCTGTTGAAGGAAAAGTCTTCATCCTAGTTCATCCAAGCCGGGGATAAATAAACAACGTGGCGATTGCTTTACAAAGAGGGTTGCAGTTTATTGAAGAGCCAGACAGCAAGATGGTTCTGGCAGGAAAGAGGAGAGAAAAAAAGGGCTGAGCACATGTGGGTAGTAGGTTTTTATACCCTCGTTTGTAGTAGGTTCCTGTTTCAGGCTTTGTATTTCCTGTGTCATGTATTCTGACCTGAGTCTGCGTGTGCCTTTCTGGTATTCTTGGTGGTGGTGGGTTAATCCTATTATATATCCTGCTTCCCTGGTGTTGGGGCTAATGACTCCTAGAGTTTGGGTGGGGTATGCAGATTTTAGGTGTGTTTGTCTTCCTAAGCTTCTAGCTCCAACTTTCCTGATGGTTTACATCTGCATTTGTATAGAGCTGGCTTCTGCTTGGGACAGAGACTTGGGGGCAGGGTTGTTTTCTGCTTTTAAAATCCTTTCGAGGAAATATATTTTTCTGCCCTTTTAATATTTCCTTCTCTGGGGGGGCTGACTTCCCACAATGCCCACTCAGCTTTATATTTGTACCAAGCTCCTTGGATGGTCAGACCCTCCCGGGGTCTGAGATTTGGTGGCCTCGATGGGACACAACAGGCTTGAGCTCAATTCAGAGAAGACTAAAGAATGACTTTGGGTGTTTGGATCTTCTGGTGCCAGGGTCTTTCCATCATTGGTCTTGGATGAGGCAGCACTGCCTCAGACAAACCCAGTGTACAATCTGAGGGTCCTCCTGAACGCAGGACTCCTGCTCAAACAGCAGATGGCAACCAGGGCTTAGGAGGGGCTTTGTACAGCTTGTGTATTGTACCAATTGTGCTTGTTCCTGGATCGGGAGGTACTGCTCACTGTCACTCATGCCCTTGTGACCTCCCATATGAACCACTGCAATGTACTTTATATGTGGCTGTCCTTGAAGTGCATTTGGGAACTTCAATTGATGCAGAATGCAGAAACATGGGTAGTAAATGAGGCTGGTTATTTGACGCATGTAACACCTCTACTCCGTGAGCTGCATTGGTTTCCATTGTGCTTCTAGATCAGGGGTGTCAAACTGCTGGCCCGCGGGCCTGATGCATCATAGCAAAACCATACCCACCCCATTGCAAGCAATGGAAAAAAAGTTGCGATACACCACGACACGTGATGTGACGTTGTGAGTTTGACACCCTTGTTCTAGGTGCATTTCAAGGTATTCGTCATTTTAAAAATCCTACATGGTTTGAGACTGGGTAAATTGAGGGATGGTCTCTCGGCAGTTGTTTCTGGCCATCCAATTTGTCAGGCAGGATGGGCATGCCTCAGGTCCCAACAGTTTAGGAATACTGGTTGGTGGGACCTAGTGTTGATCAGCCTAACATACGTGATCTTGAATTGTGTGAATTGGGAGACAGATGCCCTGAGTGTGTGGAGACATTGATAGAGGTTGTTAAGATAACAGCAGGTCTTTAAAAGGAAATTGCTCTGGTTTCTCTGGAAATCGCAATGGTTTTTTTAAATAAAATTTGCTGAAATTGTGTACATTCACTAAAGAGAGAAAGTGATAAGGATATTTTAGTAATTTCTATGTTTTTCTATTATTCCATGAACAATATGTTTCCTTTCTAATCATCTTGTGTGAGAAAAGTACTTATTTTCCAAAGATTTAACAAGTCATTGAGTGAAGCAGCAAGCAGTTTATTGCAAGAGTGGGTGACTAGTAAGTAGGCACACCCAACAATAGACTTCAGCAACTTTTTATTCTTAGCCCCAAGCGCAGTTCCCTCCCATTTGCCGAGGAACACTAGGTTTACAGCCTATCTGAAGCGCCTAATCGGCCCACGTGAATCTGTGGCATTTTCAGCCTTGCCACATTAGGGTGGGTCACTCATGAATTCTGGCAAGCGATGACAAGCCAGAAAAGGAAGAGACACGCAGAAATCTCCTCGAGGTGAGTGGACCCAGAATGTGATCTGAGCCACCTATTTATTTTGTACATACATGAGGAAGTACAGCTGTCAATACATAATTGGTTACATTTTGTTGCAG